TGGCCTTGCCACATTGTTGGATACTCTTTCCATGGGAAAAAATGGCTGATTATGTAAGTGGGTTTGAACAGCTGTAACCGGCTTTGCATTCGACTTTGCGATGCAGAAGAGTCAACGTCAGCCGTGCTGTTTGTCTTCCCTGAGGCTGGATGAGCTCGCCGGAGCATACACAGCCATAAAAGTGACTTATGGGCTGTTTTAAGGGCCCGCCTGTTCCTCTGTAGCTCGGTGAAAGAACACAAGATAATATAACAGTGCAGACTCAATTCACAGATTAATAACAACATTTTCCTTTTTGCTTTGGTAACAGTTTACAAAAAATATTTTGTGTGAGTAAAAAAAAGCACTTCTCTTAAATAATGGTTCATTGTTCTACATTAAACTACACACAGTTCATTCAATAATCTAAAGTAGCAACTCCAACAGTAGAGTGGTAGTTACCCATTAGTGCATCAATAAGAACCATTTAAAAAAAGAACATGTAGTGTAACAGTCAGCGAGACTTTTCTCTCTAGTATTTAGTGTTCATGCAGGACTTAGATTGTCCATATGTTGCTTTTGTTCATGTTAGAGAGTAGAAAGCACAGGTCTGTCATTAAATACATTTGTCCCCTACAGATGCCACTACATGATTTCTATAGTGATTCTTGTATGCAGTGCATTCAAAATAAAGCCAAGGAGCTACATGCTGATGTAGATGCGTACATGAAAAGACTTAAATGAGTCTTGATGGTTCCCTATCAAAAGTTGCTTAAAGTCCTTGCTGCATTGCTGCAGGTTCAGTTCCACTCCCTCTCTCTCTCTTCCAATAGTTTCTTCTTCCTCTTCAGGTTTTTCTATAAATGGTAGCCCTCTACTGTCACAATTCTTTTGTGGTTTACTCTCTGCTTCCACAAAAAAAGTGTCAATGAGTCATGACATCAGGTCTTATTTAGGATAAATGAAGAATAAGGCAAGGGAAGGGGCGCCAGTAGCCTACAGCAGTGGATATGTCATGCGGCCCATGTACAGAGGCTTTAGTGGGTTTGAATCCGATCATAACCCTTTGCTGAATTTCATCCCTCGCCCCTCCCAGCATTTCTTGTTTCTCTTCAGCTGGCCTACACAATAATGGCAACCCCCCCCCATCCAAGAATAAGACAGGGGAAACCATGTAAAGTCCACATGGGGATTCAGGGTAAAATTAGAAAACAGTCAAGTTTCATGTCTAGGAGAGAAAGTCTTGAGGTGTACTCTGTCTCTAGTCATGTCTTTCACACTTGATCATATCTGAGCAGTTGAGAAGTCCAGACGGGCTTCAGCTCAGCCAAAGACTTGTGATCTATGCTGGGAGAGAGATTGCGTGTGACAGCTGCTCTATGATGTATGATTGGCTGGAGTCAGTAGATAGGATCGTGCATCTCACTCGGAGACGTAGATTTAGAAGTCACAGTGCTTTAATGCTGGTTCAGCAAACAGGACTACATTACACCAACTCCTTTGTGGATTATCATATATTATTTTATTTATGGATTCTTTTCAGAAGGCAGCATGTATGGATTCTTTAACATTATTGCTTTTAAGAAGTAGTTATTTAATCCCAGAAAAGCTTTTTAAAGTTAAACATATACATTTAGCTTAAACTTTATGTTTTGACCGACTCATTGCTTTCTTTTTCGGGATGGGAGTGATGTCGCAGTCTCATGACATTTGCCTCATATTTCCTCACTGCCAGGGTCTGATGTGTGGCAGAAAATTGGAGCCAGTCAGGTGTGGCGGGGCCAAAGCCACAACACTGTGAGGCCTTTCATCTTTCACAAAATTTAATGGTGACACAAGAAACTTCACTTGCCTTCGATTAAAGTACAGGACAGGAGAGGAGATGAGAACAGCCATGCAGGGTTTACTATTAGACAGGGATCCAATTTCCAACAACTGAAAAACAATAAAAATGGAAATGATTTGTGCTTTGTATGTCTTCATTACTCCATTACCCTAGAGTGAAGCTTTGACAAATGCTATATGGAAATGCATTTCTGTGGAAGCTTTTGACCATAACTGTATCTGCCAGAACTTTTAATACATCTTCTGGAGCAAAGAGTATGGTGTCATCTGCATAATGAAAAAGCCCTGGTTACGATACAAAGAGAAAGTCTTTATATTCAGATGTCATTTTTTCACGAGGCATTAAGGTATTTGAGATTTTGGCTTAGGCTTCTATTTTTCAGACTTAGTGCCCGTTAATGGTGTCACATCTGTTATATGAGGCATTTCAGTACCCTGAAGGGTCGTTTTAAAGACTTGGGTTTGGTTTTACTCAGCACCATCTTGACAGTTGTCTGCAGCCATAAAGTAATTTGGGCCTCCTGATACAGCGTGTGCAGGACTTATGAAAGGCAAGCTAATATATCTAAAGATCTGCACTGCCATGAAAACATCCCTCTCTTGATGGAAATGTATTTAAAATCCTCACTGGGCTTAGTTTTGGAAAGATTACATTCAGCGCATTATTATGGTTTAACAGCCTGAAAGTTCACTGCTCAACCTCATTAATAGACACTGTTGGCATCTGTTTTTCACTACAGACCAAATAGATAAAGTAAGTAATGAGCTTATAAAGAAGTAGTGTAGCATTTCGTGGCTAATTAGCCACATGTTGTGTTAATAGTGTCCCCATTGCCCCTAAGTGGCAGTCTGAATTTTCACTTTGGTTTTACAGCCATTAACTCTAATGCTCTAAGATGTCTTTTCATCAGCTGGAGCTGGAGAATTTTTGAGCCATCTAGTGTCCATCAGTGGAACTGTACTTGCTAAGAAGGGCAATAAGCAGTTGTGATGAGCCAATTGAGTTGTTTTGTAATAGTTTTACTGAGTAAATAATGTAAAATAAAACTGGTGCTCTGATGACATTTTCTAATTGATTTTAAGGCAGAAAACACCTTTGATATCCTGAACTACTTTCCCAGAGCGGACTTTTTTTAAGTGTTGGCCAGAGAGCCACAAAACCTCAGCACCTTGCAAGGTCATTGTCGAGTCACTGCAGTCCATGATTTGTTTTCAGATCCTGGGAACATAAAGGGTTAAAGTGCAGCCAAATACATTTTATTTATCCCGGTAAGGAAGGTAATGTCCTCACTCAACCTATAAATCTATAAAAGAGCATTGGGAGAGCAGTAAATCTTTCCTTGATCTTATCAAGGAACCCTAAAGGTTTGGGTAAAAAACTGTTAAAAAGACTTTGCAGAAAATGAACATAAGGTGACAGGAACCATGCATGTTCGATCTGTTTGGATAAATATTATATACACAGATTTGGGACGGAGAGTTATAAGTCTCCTGTTTTCCTTCAGCTGCTGTGAACCCACCTGTATAATCTCTTGATTCAATAATTAAACAGACGGGGACACTGTGTTCTTCTTTTGTTCGAGCAGCAGATGGATTTGTAACATGTTACGAATGGCATTTGGCCGCAAACACTCCACCACAGCAGAGCAGTAGGAGGTAAAAAAGCAGGCATTATGTGATGCAGGGGAATCCAGTTTCACCTCAGTCCTGCCCACAGTCAGATGCAACATCAAAGCTGTTCTGCTGAAGATTCCCCACCTGCCTGACTAAACAAGGACTGCCTTCTAAAAGCTAACCCCTTTAGCTGAAACAGTGTACACTGAAAAATGAACAGCATGAAAACTTAAAAACTAAAACTAACTCACTGTTCATTTTTCAATGTTTTTCCTGGAACTGATCAAGTGATCAAGATCAAGAGGTCTTCCCCTCTTGGAAAACGAAAGATGTGTAAAAAATAAAACAATGAGGAAAATTGCTTAAAAAAGCAGTTTCATGTTAAAAATCGTCTTTGTTCAGACACTGTTCAGTGAAAGCACAAGGGGCTGCTAGCAGACCGCTCACTTGAGGGGCTTGTGAACGAATTTTACTGGTAACTAAATATCCACTGAGGTCTTCAGTAAGCCACTGAAAAAAAACAGTTTAATGTGAAGAAGCAATATAGCAGTGAAACATGCAGCTCTCTAGCAGTGCAACATGGACTGTGAGCTTAGCTAGCTGCCAGCTTTAGCTAACTAGCTTGCAATTATTTGACATTTTGTTAAAGGACACAGTAACAAATGACACTCAAGTGACTTGAATCAGTATGAAAACAGTCATCTGAAAATGTTTGAATATCCAAATGAAAGTCAGCGGTTCTGAAAAGCCCTGAAACATTCGTCTTAAAGGTAAACAGGACAGCCATAGGCTAATATAGGAGTTTTGTTTGGTATCGAGCTGAAAGAAGAAAGAACAATTAGTCTTAACTTTGTATTGAACATCTTAAAGTGAATTAACTGGCCACAATCTGAGTCTGGTCCAGTCTCGGAATGGACCAACCCTTGCCTGACCCTTTCATTGCATCCATAGGCCTATTACTCTCTACTGAGTGAGTAACAGGCCTATGATTTTAAATCGAGTCAATTTATAGGCCTCTATGCTGGCAATATTGTGTTTGCTCAAAGTGCCCTGCTAGTTGGAGATCATTAGAAGTTTAATCTCATCTGCTCATGATTGTTAAGTTTGATCGAATTAAGACACTGTTTTCACTGAGGCGACACTAAAATGACACCAGATGTTTCATCTCACTGGCTTTGCATAAATGAGGATTTCCCCTTTCAGCTGAAAAGTAAACGTCTGATTCAGGTTTGATTCAAATGTGTTGAATTTTGATTTGATGAAAGGGGCTTTATCTACACTGTAGTCCATTTGTCTGCATCGATGCATGTTAGATAATGGATTTAAAGCAACATAACAGTGTTAATCAATAGATTAGAATTAAAACATTTTATTTAAACTCAAGGTATGTTGTTTCAACCATTGAGCCCTTCTTTGTCATAAGCAAATCAAAGAACAACGTTTGCTAGCTCTGATTGCAGCATAAGCATTTTATACATGTGCATATCTTTTTAAAGTGGCTCCATATGGCAGCATCACACTGAAGATCACAAAAGACTTGTTTAATCTTTATTTCTCCACGACAGCAGACAGTTTAAGGAGCAGAGAAAACATGTGTAATACACTTGAAAACAAAAGACAAAAAACAAAAAGAGCAACCAAACAAACAGAGAGGTAGTTTCTTTAAATATAAAATCACATGAAATCCATTTGTTCCTTCAGTACTTTATGGCCACTGTGAAAGTAATAACCTGGTATGTGCATCGTAAAAAAAAATTGATCTTATACTCAAGAGTGTCAGCCCTTATTAGTGCTGTCCCATATCTTTAAGGTGCAGGAAGAGATCAGAACAGAAACTCTGTGGAGATTTAGTGTGCTGTTGTGCTTTGCCATTCGTTATCTGTGTTATGAAATACCATGATGACACTTTGGTTGCACTTCTGCAGAAGTGTATTATTCATATTTTCTGGCTTCTTTCCAATGATTTCCCTTTCCTTTGAAAACACTGTAAAGTTTTAGCCTTTTAGGCTTCTAAAAAGGTTAAATGAATTAAGAGAGGGACATCCATGTGGCTATACAGCAATAGACTCTGGCATTTTAAACATGAGTAGAGGGGTCACATGTGAACAGACATTGTCAGGGAAAACAAACGATAATGGCTCAAAACCACAAGTGCGTATGCAGGATTATTATTATTATTTAAATTCAAAACATTGGAGAGACCCTTTCCCCTCTCTAGAGTCGATGAGCATGCAGGTTGATTTGTTGCTGGCTCTGTATCAGTCTTTAAACATTTCTGCATTCTAACCTCTCAATTTTTCAAAAGCATTTCCAATATTTATCCTAGTTCTTCCACATTTCTATGTCCTGGAGCTCATTAGAAATATGCAGAGGCTTTTACAGGTTGGGTAGAATCAGATACATCTGAACCCGTTTGCTAGCCCGCTTTTATCACTGCAACAGCTGTTAGTTTGTGTGTGTCTGGCAAACTGAGGGGCATCCAAAACGGCCATGTAGGGGTTTATTAAAACTGCCTACTTCTCTGGTCAAAACAAACCATTCCGCACCAAAATCAAAACTTACTGGGAGGACTTAGAGCTGCTGCGTTGTTGACAGAAAAGCCAGCACTTCAACATAGCATGTTTCCTTAATGTCTGATGATATAGTAAGGTAATTTTATGATTAAATACATTTAATTATATAATAAATTAATATATAATATCTTACATATTGGACCTTTGACAAGCTAGAGTAGTATCAATATTATTTTCTCAACCAATACCTCATACATCAACTGCTTAGTTAGGCTTATTTGTAGAAAAATATTTGTGTTTGAATCAAGTTTAAAAACTTTCATCTTGTCCCTTTTGTGCCAACATTTGTTCAACTTAACCAAGTGATTTTTAAAAAACTGAAGTAGTACATAACAAATCTGTGGGTATACTAGCACAAAAAGAAGAGAAAAATCTCACATTGCAGAGACAGTTGTAAGAACCAAAGGGGGATTAAGGGGGGCACAGGGGGCTAGTTTTGCCCTGGGGCCCATTAGAAGATAGGTCCGCCCATGTGTTTATCTTTTGTGGATGTTTAAATACATGATTAAGCTTTACAACACACTTTAGTGAGAACAAAAGGACAGTTGCACTCATTTATCAGACTGGTAAAGCCTAAAAAGGAAACTTAGTGTATGTTGAAGCTCGTAGACACCCATTAATTAGGTTGACGGTGGGCTGCCATTAATTACAACAGGACGACAAGATGTTACAGCAATAGAGACAACACAGGCTCCTCTTGTTTTTAAAAGATCACTCTCATATTTCCCTTTTAAGATTGTCACGTTGGTTTAACAGTTCTGCTCCGGAGCTAGAAGGACTTTTTCCATGACTTGCAGAGAATCTTCTGGAAAGCGCGTCTGAAGTCCCGGTTGAAGATGGTGTAGATGGCAGGGTTCAGGGAGCTGTTACAGTAGCCAATCCAGAAGAAGAATTTGAAGAGCGTGTCGGGGATCTTACAGTAGTCCCTGCACACAGCGTGCAGGCTGTAGCTGAAGAAAAAGGGGAACCAGCAAACAACAAACACCCCCATGACCACAGCCAGAACAAATGTAAACCTCTTCTCCCGGGCTTGGGAAACCTTTTTCTGCGCTATGGAGCTCCGTCTACGTTTCCTCCTGGAGGCAAAGAGGTCTACGGATTTGTTGCTGACTCTGGAGATACGTGCGGATTGTTTGGAGATGGAGCTTTTCTTTAGGCCTGGTCTATTGGCCCTTTGGGAGTCCTGTCGCTGAGGTTTGTGACCTTTGCCCTCTGAGGAGGAGCTCTCGTCCATGTCTGCATCGTCTGTCTGTTGCCCGATGGTGACTGTGCGTTGGCTGGGCGTAGGTGGGCATTGACAGTGACCATTTTCCCTGTCGCCATGGCAAGGGGAGTTGGCTTTGTTCAGTCCATTCTCAGTTTGTGTGACACCATCTGGTCTGGGCTCTTTCCCTGACATGCTCCTTGTTCTGGTTTTGGCCACTTGGTAGATCCTGATGTACACCAGAATCATAATTAAGCAGGGGGCGAAGAAGGAGGCCATGCTGGAGGAGAGGATGTACCAAGTGTCATCATTGAGCATGCACTGAGGCTGAGAACTGATGTAGTTGTTGCTGTCTATAGATAAGAGAGGTGGGGATGAGATGAAAGCAGATATGAGCCACACAATAACGATGATGCACTTGACGCGCTTAGGAGTCCGCTTCAGGTTGTACTCTACAGCCTGCGTAACGGACCAGTACCGGTCCAGGCTTATTGCGCACAGATGAACGATAGAAGAAGTGCAGAATAAAACATCCAGAGCCAAATAAATACCGCACCAAACTTTCCCAAAATACCAGTAGCCCATGAGCTCATTCGCGAGAGAAAACGGCATCACCAAAGTTGCCACCAGGATGTCCGCGGTGGCCAAAGACACCAGAAAGAGGTTCTGCGGGGCTTTCAGCGCCCTGCTCGTCAGCACCGCGATCACCACGAGAATATTTCCAACAACGGTAAAGAGGATGAGGAAACTTACAAGCGCGGCGATGCTGGCGATTGCAGCCAAGGAATATCCACTGTCCGCGCTCCAGGAGGCATTCAGATGGATGGCCGTGAACGCGTCCATTCCGGTGGCGTTTAACGGATCCATCCCGGCTGTGTGCGCGTTATAGATATCCAGGACTGCTTGGATCTTGGCATGAAGTCACATTCAGCCCTTTAGCGACTGAGGAGTCCATCAAAAACGCTCCTTTTCTTGAGAAATCTGGCGACATGGATACGCGAGCAGAATAACACAGGATTGAGCCTCTTTATCACATAGATCTTACTAAAATGATACATTATGTATCTCGCGCCCTGTTATGGTCTTGTCATGCGTCTTTTGGTTGTCGGGACTTGATGCCAGCCGCAGCTCTCCCTCCTTCAGCATGGTGCGCTCCTGCTCCTAATGATGCCCCATGTGTTGTTCTTGCAAAAGTCCCCACTGCTGCCCCGCCCCCGGCACCCAGCATTGAATCAGATTGTTGGAATATGATAAGACTGTAAGGACAAGGTTGAAATTCAGTCCCAATGCTAAGAATATTATTAATAAACAAGGGCGAAATCTGTGAGATTCCCCCCCCAAAAAAAAATCTTGAAAGGAGAGAAAAACCTGGACATGTCAATGCTGAAGTGTTTTCAGAGTCTTTCAAGCCTTCATCACACTGGAGGTCACTATTGCTGCACTCACAGTAAAATCTATTTCACTATGAGCTGCATTGTATTGTCTATATGTCTGGGAGGATTTCAGGTTATTTGAGGTAAAAAAAACAAAAAAAAATGGTGGCAAATTACTCAGAGAGTTTAGCAGGATTTCATGTCACAGATCCTTGTGTGTGTCTGTGTGTGTGTGTGTGAGGGAGGACGAGGAAGGTGAGTCGAAGGAAGGTGAAGATGTGAGGCTTGTTGAGGTGTCATGCTGCTCATTCAGACCCAGCTGGATAAATGGATTAGATTCCCAACAGTGTGCTGTGTTTCACCTCCCCTTACTTACCCTTCACACCGCCACACACTTTGTATCAACATATGGCTCCTTGTTAGGGTGTAACTCAAACACAGCAGTGCATCATCAACATACGCATGCATTTTCTGTGACCTTTGGCGTGTTTCTTTTATTGGGACGCAGGTTAAATCAGATGCCCGCTGATGTTTCAGGGTTATAACGTCTCTGCTTATCTCGGCATGGGCCTCTCAGGGGGAGCACATTTTATCAGATAGGAAATAAATTGCTCTGCTGTTTGGTATTTACATTCAGCTTAATCACTGCTATTGTTTTCCCGCAAGTAAAACGGAGTGATTGAACAAATCAAATAACTAGACACGGACATATTTACGAGCACCAGCAGACACCACAGAGCTGCAGTCTTTCTATTAAAAAATACGACTGGAATTCAGCAGCAGAAGAAGAAGAAGAATGATGTGACTTTTAAGGGTACATTAGGGTATATAATTGAAAAAGCTTTAGGAGAAGCCCCTCTTTAATGGCTGACCTTTCATGATCCCTGTCACACTCAATAAAAAGCATTCCTCCTTCATGAATATTTTAGTTTAAAGCCGAGGTTATTCACAACACACAGCAAGTATTTTAGAGAACGGAACACATTCAAATGAATCCTTGAAAACCCTGAGGAAAGAAATGAACATTGGTTGGCTTTTGATTCTAAAGCGGTAATGTGGAGAATGCAGTAAATATGAAGAAAAGCCATGTTCTATATTATAAGAAATACATTTATAACAAAAAAAACAGCTGCATAAAAAGAAAGGAGAATCAAAACATTCATGGTCAATTCTGACAGTTTACTTAAGGCAAAATGGAATCCAGTTCCTTCTTTAATATTAAAGTATTCTCGTTGACCACACTGTGCTGAATTAAGAAATTACATGATTTCATCTCCATAAAATCTGAAGAAATACTGATTTTATTTCTATTTTTTGGGATTGTTTTTTGGAAGGATTCTTTGTTTGTCTCTTTCCTGAGAGTGTGTTGATACTCAAACATTGGAAATTGTCTCAGTTTGTCACAAAAATACAAAGACCTGTTTCACCAATTTTTTTTCCCTCTACATTTTTCTCACATATTGATCCCAAGGCACACGCCAAATACTCAAACCGAGAGAAACTGCAACATTTTCACAGAGGATTTTCTCGTACAGTTCTCAGCTTCTCGGTCTGTTGGGCTTGAGACGAGATGGAGTACAAGTCTTGGAGTGAAAACAGAAAAGAGCTGCCAATACCTTGTGGGAACATGGATCTCACAGTCAACAAGTTCAAGAGTTACTTGGACGTCCTTCAGCTTGTATGAGGCTGCTGCTAGTACAGAAGAGTGTTTCTCTCATCAGCTTCAAGACGTACTTAGAAATAAAATGTAATCGCAAAAATAAAAAACTGCCCAGCTTTCTTTGATCCCATTGGAGGATCAAGTGTAATTGAACTTTAATGTCCACTTAAGATGAAACAGTGTTTTGCCCAGCAATTCCAACAACAGACAGTATAGAACAGCTACTACTATAAAGGCCAAAAAGATATTGCACACTTAAATGTTACCTTCATTAATTTCTGAGTCTAGAAGTTACACCATTGGGCGGCCGAGGGTCTGAGCTTCCTTATGCCTGTATTTTTCCAAACCTGTTGGCGAGACCAGTCGTCCATTGCATCCTCAGGAAGTATATAATCAATACCCCTGATCATCCCAGTAACAATGCGGCTTAATTTAGCACACTGGCCGTTGACAAACTAGTTATTATCCATGCAGAGGGGCAGCGTAGTTACCATGGTGAAAAGTCAGACAGGATGGGGAGGTATCAATGTATGTCCAACCTGTGGCTTAAATATGCTCCAGGCCTCTAAACGGTATTTCAAGAGCCACTGGGTGGGGCGTCGGATGGCTGCAGTAATGTCGTGCGGTGTGCGCCCTCCAGAGACTGGATCCTCGTCCCAGTAGCTATGGGTTTGGATCCGACCTAATATCTATGTCTACAGGTTGTGTGGAGACGTTTGACGTAAGATGGATTTATTTATTTATTTTTATGCAAGCCTGCGTAAAACTTGGGTTAAATGACTTTCTGCACCCGGTAAACATGAAGCAGCGATATTATGCAGCGTTATGTTGCAATCTGTTCTGAATAATTTCTGCTCTGATGGATTAACACCCTGCTTCATGCATCCCTCTCTCTTCTTAGCTTCATTGGTAACCGTCCTCTAATGTGTCTTGGCCGCAGCTATTGTATCAAACAGTACAGAGGCTAACTGGCTAGTGCCGTAAATGAGAGAAGCGCAGCCTGCTGCCTAACATGCATAGTGCTACAGTATAAGCAGGCGACCAGAGCGTCTGTGGACATTTGAGAGACGCTATTCTGCCTGTTGAAAGTTCTTTCAATCGATTGAAAAACTATTTTAAGTTTGAAAAGTTACATATAGTTTTAGCACATATAGTTGCTTTAACATCCGTACTTGTGTCTTCTTCAGCTGTGTTTCAGTATCAGTAGCAGAGGGAGGTGAGTGTATGACTCACCCTCTCTGAGCCCTCATACTGATAGCTCGTTCACAGAGTTGAACCCGTGACCTCCCAGTCAGAAGTCTTCCTCATACAGCTAGCTCCCAGTGAGACCTGCACATCCAGGTTCAGGTCTACAGATACAGAGCACAGAACAGAAATGAATCATTCTCTTTCACTGCTAACAAAGCCTCTTGTCTTTTTTCACTGATATCATATATTTATATCATGTGCATATCCCTCATTTATTGATTGGATTGGAAGCTCTTTCTAAAAGTAAAAACAAATGTGATAGCACCTCTAATTTCTCTGCAAGCTGAGAACAGAGGATGGTGATCTGCAGGTTTTTAAATGTGTTTGATGTGCTACGAGCCGACAGCAGTCACAGGTAATTCCTGTTTGTTTTAGAGAGCTCGGTGATGATGGGAAATGATGTCTCGTTCCTGCTCTTAGTGGTGTCACCTCTCCATGTGTTCGTGTTCCTCAACATGCTCTATCTGTTGTGTGTTGGGGTGTTGGGCTTGAGATGTATTTTCAAATGCTTCATTTCAAGTGTGATTTCAAGGTCGGGCTTCCAGGTTTTAGAAGACCATCAGTTATTGTACATTTCTTGACACCATAGAATCAGTAAGTAAAGATCCTTTATCTTTACTTTAGGTGCTCTGGCCTTCCTAAATAGCTCTACATAATTTCAGCTTTTGAATGCTTTGATTTAACATGATCCCGGACTTTGTAGAAAACTTACAACTTAAAGGGGCCATATGAATTCTTCTGTCTTTCCTAGACATGTTACAAAAGTGCGTCGTGCTTTTCTACCTTCATAAAACATTTGTAAAGACACGTTTTTCAGAGTATTACTGAATCAGCATTTTTATACAACCATTATTATTTGAAAGGGAAGTCTTCTTTTCCTGGCACATTGATCATTTGCTGTCAGTTACCACCGCTTGTAGATGAGTGGCATAATGTGAAACCTTCGGCAAGAGGAGAATTGCCTCGCCCGCTTGGTTGAGGTCACAGTTGTTGGCTCGAAAGCCTTTCAAGAGGTAGATTAACAACTCTTCACAAATGCTCTCAGGCTGCCAATTTCAAGCAGGCTGCCCCTGAAATCTTCCTGACTTGCTTGTTGACACATGCACCTCACAGCGGGAGTATTTCCCTGTTGGAGTCAGGAGGAATGACAATGACGTCATAAAAAACAACGTGGAAGTGGCGGATGAAGCAACAGAGACTGACACTTTGATTAGTTTATCAGTGCTAAGTGTAGTTAGTTAAATTCAGCATATCCAAAATTATTGAGGAACAGAAAACATGAAGTCGTTTCATTACATGATCGCTTCAGACGTGTGTAAACGGTCAATGGTCATACTTCAGTCAAGGGATATAAACATCACAACCCCCCCCCCCCGCCCCCCCTATAAATTGCTCATGGTGAATTCACCTGAAAAAAATGTTCTCCTGCAGCTTCACAGGAAATTCTCTAGAAGGCTTGCAGGAAAGAATTCCGTGGCAAGTCAGAGTGAAAAATGTGGCTGTTTGCTTTCACACATGCAGCAAACGAGAAACAGTCAGGACGTTGTCCGGAGTTTTGTGCATTCTGAATTTGTTACCAGTTATTCTAATGTGTAAAAGCACCATAAGAATAACTGGTAACTAAAAGGGCACTCTGCACAAAAAGGCAAAAATCAAAGCTTCATAACAGTCAAGTCTAAAAACCATCGGGGTACACCCGCAGTGGCTTTGTCCATATCTTCACAGTCTTTACAAATACAAATCTGAAACATTTCATATTGTACAATATAAAGTATAGTTTTGTAACAAGTATTTATGCCAAAATAACAAAAAAAAAGAACATTTTTAAGGTAAAAAAACCTTTAGTCACAACAGTAAACTTTGTGAG